ATTATTGAAGCACGCATTCTTATACATTCTCAAAGGCAGCATAACACGGAAACACTTAACTCATTTCTTAGTGGTTACCTTGAGGAGAAAGCCTTATAAGGAGATGGGGTCTTCTCCTTTTGTTACAGGTATGGATTATGTGTCATTAACGAACTTTAATTGAACCTTGTGGTTTGGACTTTTGACATAGGTTTTGACATAGGGACGTTGGCTAGAACATCTTGTGGTTAGTGAATTTCCTTTAAGCAAACGTCTAACTGTGCCTATTATGCTATGTCTTCATTCTTATATTTTTTAATCCATATTTTATTCTACTTTAATAGGGTACAAGTAAGCAATCAAATCATACTAGGAAACAATCAATATAAATCGTAAGGATACAAACAACAAAGTTACAGTCATACAGTCATAAGTAGGAGGAGATGGTGATAGGAACAATGAGTAGATTAATAGTAATAGTAATGAAGCCTTAGTGAATAGTTTGACAGTGGTGAGGTAATTATTTGTTTAGCAGTGTTCGGGGAAAAAACTGTTCTTGTGTCTAGTTGTCTTGGTGTGCAATGCTCTAAAGAGTTGTTTTGAGGGTAGGAGTTGAAACAATGTATGTCCAGGATCACAGGGTTGTTGTGGCAGGAAAATAAAAGGAAGAAGCATTAGGCTTGTTTGCCATCTTGAATTATTTACACAAATAACGGTGGGAGAAAATAATCTATATTTAATCTAATCGTTAATACTCTTAATATCTGTCATGAATTTCTGGTGATCCCAAATCAGCAATGTGAGACTAAAATGAGCAAAAATAATTCGCTCATAGTATAGAAGGCTCTAATAATAATTGATCATTTAATTGATTAAATTATTAAATGATACTCTATAGCATTGTTTTGAGGGTAGAAGTTGAAACAACTTATGTCCAGGATGCGAGGGGGTCTGTAAATATTTTCACGGGCCTCTTTTCAACTCATGCAGTGTACAGGTCCTCAATGGAAGTCAGGTTGGTAGCAATTGCTTTTTCTGCAATTCTAATTATACTCTGAAGTCTGGCATTGCAACCTCAAGTTGGCATTGCAACCTCAAATCTAGACTGCTCTAAACCTAAGGCAGGGATAACTACTTATTCCATCATCTTCACACTGAATTGCAGGTCTTCTTAGCAGAGGAAACACGAAGTAAAGGAGAGTGTTGGGAATTCAGTAAATGATTTCTCAAGAAAGCAGTACCACAGTCTCAGTCCCAAGTATTAAGAAACTTTTTTTTTACTGACTTTCAGAATATACTACAGTTCTTAGCCTCCATAGCACGGCATGTCTGCAGGCACATTCCATTAATGAACACAGTTAGAGTCTTCACCAACACCGCCTCTCCCTGCATGAAGCCAGCTTATTGCTTGACCCCAACTGACATCACTTCCCTCTTTATGGCACAAATTCTAAAGGAAGCCAAATGTTGGTACAGCAGCAAGAAGGAAGTTAAGGTACAATTTAATCTACTTAAAAGGATGCATGTTTCCTTTTGTTTTTTAATCTCTGAGATAACATTAGCAAATCAAAGGAGGCTTCTATTTTTCTGCATCTTTGTGTAAACATACTAGGTAACAAACACCTGCTTTTTATTCCAGCAAAATCAATTTGGAGCCCAAATGAATGTGCTTCACTTTGAAGAAGATTCTTTTTTTTTTTTTCAAAAGCCAAGAGTCAAAATCAGAGGAAGAACATATTTTATCTGGGGGAAAAAAAAAAGCCAAACTCTCCCCACCCACCATGGGTTAACAGCAGTTCCACATCTTATTTGTGAACCCTATGAAAACTGGGGAGGGAAAAATGTAGTTTAAAATGTAAAATCTAAATTTGCATTTTGTAGGCTTGGCCTTACTTTTTCCCGTCAAACCAAAGAATACTTAGAGCATATAGGTTTCCTGAAATAAATATATATATTCACATTATTTCCTTTCTACATAAGTCAGAGTATGTAAAGCACAGAAATGGAATAAAAATAGGAAGTCAATGAAGTTGAAAGTATGAAATTAATAGTGAAAGAGAAAAAATATGAAGCACTATAGGATATGATTAAAATATAGTCATTGTCTTTAGTGTTAAAAAATTTTCTGTTAAATTTTTTACTTTTTTTTGAGGAACTAGTAGCATGCTCATATACACACCCACACCCACAAACTATTCAGTATTTTTCTACCAGCATTTGAACATTTCCTCATTCCTTAGTAAGCATGAAGAAACTGCTGGGCTTTGGGGTTGGTTTTTTGTTTTTTTTTTGCCATTTAATCATTTGTTCTATTTTATCTGTCAAACTAACCACTCTGGTCTGGTGCATTCATTATCAGATCAAAACATTCAATCACATCATACAATCAATACAATATTTACTGCAAATAATTTGGCTTTTCAACACAAGAAACACTTGGAAATTTCTTCTCTCACATTCACACATTTCCAAATGAGTTAATGATCTGAAGAGCAAAAGATCCGGTCCCATCCTTAACACAAAGTCACACTCCATTTCCCAAAATTGTTCACTGTTATGTCTCATACCCATCTGATCAGAATTCTGATCAGCCACTTCCTAGGCACATTTAACAAACTAGTTTTGTTTTTACTGTATCTTCCCCTTCGCACAGGGGAACAATACTAGCATTCCTTCAAATGTCAAAGAGAAGTGCAACCTTCACACCTACCTTAACCCAATTGCAAATCCACATTATGTACAAGCCATATCCCTATTTTAACATTTCTCCAATTATACTATTTTCAGCCTCACTATTTTTCAACATTCTCATATAATGATATTTTTATTGGACACAAGATTGTATTCCTATCCATGGCCCAGTTCTTTTTTGCTGCATTCTTTCATCTCATTCCCTTCCATCCATTATATCATTTCACACATTCTTGCATTACATTGACTCCCCATAATTCATCGATACTTCACTCATTATCACAATTTAACATAACATCACATGCAAATATTACAAACCATGAATTCATACTTTTATATGCACCCATAACCTAGGTGATGGAAATGCACTTTCTGAAATAATTTTAGCTATTTAATTAATAATTAAACTTATACTTACACTTTCCTGCTTATATTCATCAACTCTAGTGCAAAAGAACAACTTTCATTCAGTTGTTAATCCTTCCCTTTCTCTTAATTTCACAGGCACACAAGAAATCTATTTTTCCCTGTTTCTTTCATTCATTCATTTATTCATGCTTTCTGCTATTTCCATACATTTCACGTTTTGCAATATGCCATGGTCCCCACCAGATCTGTTCACGTATATCTTTCTATTTTACTTATCGGTTTTAATTAATCAATGCTTTCCCATAATTCATTGTTAGTTCACATAATTCATTGTTAGTAAGATAAACTGAAGACTAGATCTCCAGCCTTGGCAATACTGATAATACATGAAGCTTTCCCTGCTAATGGTAAGTATAGTACTTGTTTTATTTTTCACTTGCTTCTAACTAGACACAGTACAAGTTGTACCAATCAGTTTGGGCATATTTTGGTCAGCCTGCTCCAAAGTACAATCCAGGTCCAATCCAGATCCAGTGTTATCCCAAGCCATTTTACACTCTTCTATGCAAGACAGGCTCTCACTACGTCTCAAGGCAACATGCTTTTGCCAGCACCTGTTCAATTCAAAGATACACAAACTCAGGATATGAAATGTCTCCAAACCTAAGCTGAGCTGAGTTTATTAGATAAAGAATTTGAAAATCCATTACCAGCTCTCCCAAAATTTTCATCTCTGCACTCAGGAAAGGATCTATCACAAAAAAACAGGTCAACAAGAAATAAAATAAAATTAGGTGAACCAATCCATTCTTTCACATAATATGTATTTTTGCTCTGGTAGAAGCTTCCAATAATTCAGAAGCTGGTTTCAATTCCAGGCAGATGAACCACAGCACAAGCAGATCTCCATATCAGTGTACCAATTTTGCTTCAACACTGGCCTGTCATTGTTCTCACAGATTACATGAGTGGCTCATTAACTGAATTGCATGGTGGATTTCAGATTCTTTCTATATTTCTCTCTGCTGAAAAGCTCAGTTCATACATTTCAGTGAGGGAACTCTCTTCCTGTGGGAATAAACCTAAGTAGGATTCCTGAACAAACCTGAGCCTTGGGCTCAAGATGGATTTCAGAAAACTTCTCCTTAGTTATTTCTACTCCATCTCTTTACCCCCCTGGAAAAATCAAGCTTTTCTCTTGGCTGTGTCCCATTAAGTATTGCGTGATACCAGAAGACCTTAGCTTTGCTACTAATGTGACTTCATACATCTTCAGATGACATTCAGCTTGGAGCCTCTCGGAAGCAAATCCAATAACAATTAGAGAGGGGTTTGCTTACCAAATATACTACTTTAAAAAAAAACATGATAGGTCATATGGAGTATCAAGGGGCAACCAAAGTCTACAACATTCTGCTATTTATTAAGGACAGGCAGGATTAGGACACTGATTAAAGAGTACTCTAATTAGCAGTAGGTCTTTCAGTTCTTCAACCCTGACCTCTGATCTTTCCAGGTGAGAAGGTGGGAATTGAAGGGGGGCATCCTGCACCTGTTTTCAGGGCTCCTGAGAGGTGGGTGGTGGTGGCAAGATTCAAGTAAACTCACCCTGGGGTTTTAATTCAGGCGAAACCCCAATCCCAAGGACAAACATGTTTCGGCCAGTTGTTAGCCTGCTCACCATCCCACCTTTCAATACCCAACGTCAGATCATGCCTAAACCAAGGAAGGCAGAACCAAACCCACTGGCCACCCCATGCGAGAAAAGAGAAGAGCAGCAACGGATGCTCGCAGATGCAACGTGGGGAGAAAACCGACTCCCCCGTCCCGTCCGGGCGTCAACTGCCACTGTCCCGCATATCAAACCCCGGAGGGGCCCTTTGCCTTCTAAGGGCACCGTGACTCTCTTCGGTCAATCGCTGACTCCCCGCCCGCCCGCCGCCCCTCGGCCGCCTTCTCACCCGCGGATTCGTTTCGCCGTTGGGTTCCCTCCTCGCGGATCACCACCGTTCTCGACACGTCGAGGATGGAGGCGGTGGCTGCTTGCATGGCTCCGGGGCCCTCGGGGCTTCCGAGCCGCAGGGGGAGGGGGGCAACCTGGCCCTCTTCACCGAGCAAAATCCCACACTCTTCCCGGGGGGAAGGAAGGATGGGTCTTCCCCGCTGGCCTGTCCGCTGCGGCTGAGGGGATCGGGGAGCTCCAAGCAGGCTTCTGTCCGCGGGCAGGAGCACCGGCTTCGTTTCCCGCTTCTCCTTTTTACAACTGCCGGCGCTTCGCTCGCCTTCCCCTCCGCCTCCGCCCCGGCGGCGTCTAACGAGCGGCAAGCAAAGGACGGTGCTGAGCACCTGGAGATCCCGCCCTCCCCCGCTCATTCCCCCCCTCCCTCTCCACCCGCCACACAAGGCAGCACACCTCGCTTCCTCTTCAGCGCTGAGTCCGGGCGAAGGAAGCGAAGATCGTCGCGCCTTCTCGATTCAACGACCACCGGGGACTCGACGTGCCGGAGCCGTCGGAGCTCTCCCGTCGGATGCGCCCCTTGAATATCCAATCCAAAGGTGCGTCGCGCCTTCCCCCGTGAAGATCGCACAAGAGGCAGATTCGTCCAGGGGCTCCGAAGCGCTTCTACCGGAGCGGGTTGCGCGATCCCCTATCTGGTCAAAACGCAAGATTGGACGAGTGCCTTCCGCCGACTTAGGGCAGAATCCGAGGCCTCCTGTGGGTAGAAGTAGTCCCGGCAGGGCCCCGCGCTCGTCAGTCCGAACTTATCTCCCCTTCCTCCATAAAACGGGAGCAAGGGGACCATTTAGGCTACATGAATATGCATGAGTGATTCCTTCAACTTCTGGTTGTATAAGAGCGTGTAAGACAAAAGGCACGCTCCACTGGGGAGCGGCGGAATCATCACACCGCGGCATACTCCCCGGAGGCAGACGGCAGGGCTTTTTTTGTCTAAAATGGCACATATTTATGTTTTGCCTTTTAATAATTCATATCTTGCCTGATCTTTGGGAACTCACACACAGCGCGCCCTCCTTTCATATTTTCCCTAAACAGAGCTTTGCGACGTAGATCAGACTGCAAAATAGATTAGCTCAAAGTTATTTCCACGATAGTGGAATTGAACCTGCGCAGTTTTCCGAGTTCTACCACTACTTCAGTGTTACTTTCCATCTACCTTTATTCAGTTTCTTTTCTCTACACACACGGGGAGGGAGGGAGATAAAACAAAACCTTTAGATATGGACCTAAAAATATGCCCGATTTGCATATGTTCATATTTTCAAAAATGTCCACATGAATTTTTTTTAAAATTTTGTGGTAGGGACAAATAGCATCAGATGACTCAGAAGCAGGAATATTTGTGATGTGCAACCTTTCTCAGTGTATAAATCTATCAGTCCTTACTGAACAATGGTTTGCATTATACATATCTGGGTTTGCACGATGTAGCTACTTTACAAGAAATCCTGGATGGGATGATTGACAGCTGTGCAGCTCAGAAGTGGGACAAATAGGAACAGTAAGAATAAAGATTTTGTAGATAAACCATTAAATACTAGTACTTAACAAATGTTGTACAGTACATCTACTGCGGATGACTATATAATAATGCCAGTCCAGTGAGCATATAATGCCATCTCATATACCCATAGTATCTAATAAAAACCAACATGCAAATTACATAAATGACATAATTTCTGTTAGGTGTCATGAAACCAATGACTTACCGTAAGTCATATGATTTGCCAGTGACATAATGATAAATATGATATCATTTCCTTCCTGCCTGGATGGCCGTCCACATATCCCTATTATTCCCCATGCTAGGTAACTCTAAATTTGCTCCATTATTCCAAATCCAAATAAATGCTGGCCTTCTGCCTTGTTGTCAATTAGAACCACTAATCAAGCTGCGATCCTAAACCTTTCTTTCATTCAGTAGGGCTTTCTTTAATTCATAGAGTCAGACTTTGTTTATAGAGAAGCTAGAGGTATACCAGTGTGGGAGTTTGATTTCAGACAGCATTGAAAAGTTAAGAGGGTTAATTTGACTTGTACTTCAAGGAGACATCCATGCAGTTTTCTGCTTATCAAGATAGAAAGGTTTGTCTTTGCTTTCTTCAGGCATGTTGGGTTTTTAAAAATATTTACAGACCATCCTACCATTCTAGAATGGGGTTTCCCATTCAAGTGTTAAACAGACTGAATCCTGCTTAGCTTAGTAGACTGTATGTCAGCCCAGTGAGTAAACTCATCACTTGTCATTATTAATCTTGGGCTTTGAATATGATAACATAATCCCCTCCAGGTAGTTTTTGCTGCCATCTCGCCAACTGATTGACATCTGCACAAAACTAAGCTGATCTGTGCAGGGCAGGGCTATCTATTTATATTACCGCAGCTTGCTCTGCAGAAAGGGTAAGGCATTTTTTAAAACTAAAATACCCCGATATGCTTATTGGATCAGCAAAATAAGATGGGGGAAAAAAGATGAGGGAGAAGGTATGTTTAAGCGAAACCAGAAGATATGGACCGATTTAATAACAGCGCAGGATTCTTTTATTTCAGGCTGCAGTATTTATTTAATCAAATTTCTATGGCTGCCCATCTCAAACAAGGTGACGTACAATAAATCCAACAATTAAAATGGAATATAATAAACAGCTAAACAATTAACCTAAGTAAAAACAAGATTGTGAGAGGGTTAACATATGTGATTTGGAGGAAATAGGGATTTTGCAGTAACCTTTCCCTGGAGTGGGGTGGGAATGGAGATTTTACAGTGTCCTTCCCCCTGCCATGCCCACCAAGCCACACCCACAGAATCAGTAGTATTTTTTTTAATCCCACCACTGTATTACTTGATTAAAGGTAATAGGTGTTCAAACAAAGACAGAATAGAATAGATCCTATCACCCCTTCGAGGTAGCCCAGACTAGAAAACCAAGGCCATGCAGGTTACTACTAATTTTATAGTAAAGAGTTTGTAACGAAATCTTGCAAGTCAGAATAAAATGGGGAGGAAATGCAGATTTTATAGTATCCTTCCCTTGCCATGCACACCAAGCCACGCCCACAGAACCAGTAGTAAAAAAATTTGAATCCCACCACTGAATAGAGCACATTATAATAGTCCATTCAGGAGATAACCAGGATATGAGAAATTGTGAGCAGAGCTTCATGATCCAAGAACAGGCACAACTGGTAAACAATATGAAGTTGTGCAAAGGCCCTCCTAGTCACAAACGCCACCTGCTCCTTGAGCGGATATCATGAATTCAAAAAGATCGCCAGCTTATGCATCAGGTGTGTTTGGGGCAGTTACAGCTCTATTCATTGGAAAAGATGTGCAGTTTCAGATTTGGAAGGCCTAAAACCCAAACCATTCAGAGTTGGGGCGGGGGCGGGGTTGACAGTTGAATTTACTCTACACTTCCATGTAAAATAAAAAGGGACAAGATTGTTAAACCTTGAGGCATCCTACAGGCGAAGGACTGTGCACATGATCTCTCCTTTGAATATCAATTGGAACCGATGGTTGGAAAAGAAAGCGAACCACTGCAGGACAGCTGTTCAAAGTTTGCATTCCAACTTGGAAGAACAACTCTTCTCTAGATGAAAAAAATATATAAGAAAAAGTACTCCAGGGCATTGAACTTCCACAAAACCACTGCAACATCTAAAAGCATTCCAAAGACAAAAATGTGAAGATGTGCTTCTTTCTTCCAAAGAATATACTTTGAAAGACTATGATTTTTTTTCATATTCATTGCTGTTATGAATGAAATATAAGATTTATTCCAGCAGTGGGAGTAATGCATGAGTGAAGGAGGACCACCTAAAGGCTGGAATAAATTATGAATGAATGAATGAATGAATGAATGAATGAATGAATGAATGAATGAATGAATGAATGAATGAATGAATGAAAAATAAAAATAAAAACCAACAATATTCTATGATTGAACTTTTCTCTGCAGGGTCCAGAGCTCTCTATCTCATTTGCTGAAGGATTCAGAAATCTTCCAGTGGAGATTTTTGGCAGGTAGAAAAGTGTAGCGGGAAATCAGCAAAGATCACTTTGCCCACCCTTCTCCAATAATGTTCTCTGCCCTCAATCAAAAGCCTCTCATCTATGGAAGATTTGAATTGGATTCAACACATAACACTATGTATATTCAAAGTTGATTTTTTCCCTTTCTTGCAATAGAGGTAAATAATTCTTTTTGTAGTTATATTTTATCCTGGCATATAGAAAGAGCAGGGTTGTTCAGAAGTGCCCAGAAGAGCAACAAGAACAGTTGCCTAATTTTTTTCAAAAGGCTATTTATGCAGAAGAAAAACAAACAGGAACATAATTCCCTCCAAAGATGAGTTTAGCCATGACCCTATTAGCTTTCCACAAATCCCTTAAAATATGGTTTATTCAGCAGCCTTGCTGATCCGGTGGAAACTGGGTGCCTGCAGGATCATATTGGGTTTAGCATGTTGGTCCATTCTCCTACAATTATACTTATGTTTATGCTTAATTGTTTTTAATGGTTGTTTATATTTGTTTTCAACCTACTGTACACTACCCAGCATCATGTGTGAGATGGGTTGCTATGTAAATTTGCTAAATAAATAAGTCAAACATCATGGTATTGTAGAATTAGGTAGGGAAAAGGTCTGAATACCATTTGTCTCTTGGCCATGTTTGCTAGTGCATTAGAGATAAGTTGATGCATTTCTTTCTCATGGAAATAAGTAGCATTTAATCGAGCCAGACTGCAAATATTATAGCAAAAAAATCCACAATATAAGAAGTCTCCTTTGAATTGAACTTGATTCTTAGTAAGTAGATGAGCTTTTTCTTGTTATCTGGGCAACAATATGTGTGTGGTTTATTCCACGGTCTTCTCTTCTCCCCAAGTGGTTCTGAGTTTCTCATTTGAGCCTCAATCTAGTCCTGGGATTCCCGGGAAGTCTCCCAGGCAGAAATCTGACCCTGGTTGATTTTCAAATCTGATAGTGCCACCATTATTACTTGGTCACTAAAATGTATTTACATCAATACAAATCACCTTCCAGTTTTTTTTAAACCCTTGGAT